CTCTCTCTCTCTGTCTCGCTCTCTCCTCTTTAGCTCTTATTTGTTCGCATGTCCGGTCTGTCCGTCTATTTGTCCGTTTGTCCCTCTGTCTATCTGCCTCTCTGTCTGCCCGTCCTGTCTCTAATGCTCGGCAGACTAAGATTGATGTTCGCGAGGAGGAAGCAAGTCAGATGTAAACAAGGATGATGGCATTCAAACCAATACCTGGCGATGACAGTGGAGATGATGATCGAGATGATGATGATGATGATGATGGTGCTGTTGTCTGGGTGCAGACGGCGACGAGGACCAGGAAAGCGACAGCACGCCAGGAGAGAAGAACCCTTTAGCACCGGAGCTTTGCCAGAGCTCGAACCTTACTATAACTCAGGGTACTACTGGGGTTCAGGGTTGAGTTATTGTCTACGGCTTGAGGATTCGAGTATTTAGGTGCAGGCTCTTCAGGGTCTAGGCTGCTTTGGGCGTCCAGTGCTTCGTGATTAGGCAACTCGTTCCTTAAGCTTTCCGAGAGGGTTTTGCATGGGCGTCCTGGCAGGAAACTGCAAACAGCCTCCTCGCGACTCCTCGCTGGTGTTGCACTCTAGCACCCGGTTTTTCAGGCTGTCCAGGTCGCTGCCCGAACGTTGGAATTACTTCGGCGGTTCAGGGCCAACGGTTTGCAACATGCGCTGAGGTCCCCAAAGGCTCAAACCCTTAACCTCCCCAAAGCCAGCGACACCCTAAAATTAAACCGCAGCTCCAATCCCTAAATCCCGGAGCCTCTGAACCCTCACCCTGAACTGCAGTGCCTAAATGCATGCACCCCTGAAGCCTAAACCGTCAAACCCTAAAACTCTAGACCTTATCCTACCCCTAAACCCTCAAGCCCTAAACCCCTTGACCCCAAAGGCTCGAAATCCGAAACCCCTAAACCCCAAGCCCCTACCGAAACCACCTAAACCCTAATATAGGGGCCTTAATAACTAGAATAGGGTTCTGGGGCATGTTATATTATAACTATAATAAGGAACCACCCAAAAAAAAAGTATAGGTAATTATTTAGGCTTCTACATTAAGCCCCAAAGACTCGAAACTCCAAACCCCACAGCCCCCTAAAAGGCTCCTGGTTTGCTGCCGACGTCGCCATCGTGTCCCTGGATGCTGTCCTCATCATCATGGAGGCCCTTTTTGGGAGGGAGGTTTAGGGTTTGGTTTAGGGTTTAGGGTTTAGGGTTTATATAGTTTGGGGCTTAGGGGGTTTTGGGTTTGGTGCTTTGGGGTCCTTGGGGTTTTAGGATTGAGTGTCTTGGAGTTAAAGTAAGTTGCAGGGTTATGGTTTAGAGCGTTGGAGTTTTAAATTGTAGGCTGCTTAAGGGATTCTGTGACTGAGATGTGGGTTTTTGTGATGAAGAATTATAGGTTAGGTTTGGGGCTTTGGGATTTTCAGGTTTAGGGTCTTCTAGGACCTACAGCCTAGTCCGATGATCTTCTGGAGCCAAGGCAAGACGGTGAAACGGCCACAAAGCCCAAAGCCGTGAACTACTACCTGATATCTGTCCTAAACCCACATGCTGGAATGTATAACCTGAACGGATTTTGCAGGTCCCGAAACAAATCCTAAACACCCTAAACCCCAATCCAGCCCTAAAGCGCAGAGGCGATCCACGTCGCCGATGTGGGAGGCGCCGTGTTCCGTTCTGCCAGATACCTGCGGACCCTGAGATGCTCGGCTATTAGGGTTTAGGCTTTAGGGGGTTCAGGGTTTAGGGTTTAGGGTTGTGGGCTCCAGAAGGGTTAAATCACGGTGTCACGGGGTTTTGTTTTTGAGCTTATGTGTTTCGTGAGATTTGCCCTGGCATAGGCCTCATAGCACCGAAGCTATTACTCAGGGTTCCTTATTATAACTAACCACTATAAGGCCCCGGTAGTAAGCAATGAAGCCCTTAACTTCTTGATGATAGGACTCCTGCGTCTTATCCGCCTGCTGCGTGTGGCGAAGCTTCAGCGTGAGCTCACTCTGCTTGCCAACCGTGCCTTGTCACTTTTGAGGGCAATTAAGCTGCTCTAGATCGGGTGTAGGGTTTGGGGTTTAGGGTTTAGGGAGATAGGGTTGGTTCCTGTACAGAAAGAGCTCGAAGGGAGATCTATACTCAATTTGGAAGAAGCCCCATCGGGTTGGCAGTGTTGGGTTCCGGGCGGTGTGAGTTTGAGATGTGCATCCCTCTGTTGTAGGCTTAGAGTCCTCCATTCGGGTTTGAGGATTGTGGAAATAGCTTCGGCACGGCGTTGGATAACCCTTTGCTGTGTCATCAGTTTGAGAGGGCGATGTTGTCATAAAGACCTTGTCTGTCATTTCAGCCTGTCCATAGGGAGGGAGGGAAATCAACGGGCACATGATATTCTAACTCTCTCTTGCTCTCTCTCTCTGGCTCTCTCCCTCTCTCTCTGTTTCTCTCTCCTTCTCTCTCTCTCTCTTGCCCCGTGGACTGTTTCATATACCACTACGACACCAGAGGAGATTCCCACTGGGGAATTGCATCCAGGAGATTCATTGCGATCTCAACCCAGCTCGAAGTGACCAGCCCAAACAAGCCATCCTGCAAGCTTCACGGCCATAAACTGGAAAGTCAGGGTAGCTAAACCCTAAACCCTAAACCCTAAACCGTCGTGGTACCTTTACAGGGTTCTGATGTCCCATACTCGTACTGAGTAGTAGAGTACGTAGCCTTTCACCTTGAAGCTCTATGGTTTGGCCTGTAGGGTTTAGGGTTTAGGGTTTAGTTCTCTTGGGATACTGGACAAGTAAGACTACAAGCAGCATTTATCCGGGACCCTGCTGGCCGCCCAAGGGCTTAAACCCCGAGACCCTAAACAGTCCTTAAACCCTGAATATAGGGGCCGTCTTTATTACCTATACTATTTTGGTGGCTCCTTATTATAATTATAACATATGCCCCAAAACCCTATTCTAATTATTGAGGCCCCTATCTGGCTTCAAAGCATTGTGGCTGTCTGCCCTTGAGTCCAGAGCCTTAAGCCCGGGGTTTTAGGGTTTTAGGGTTTAGGGATTAGGGTTCAGGGTTTTAGGGTTTAGGGATTAGGGTTTAACAGGGTTTTTAGGGTTTTTAGGGTTTAGGGTTTAGGGCTTTTAGGGTTTAGGGTTTCGGGTCTAGGGATCTCGAGGGAATTCAGCGCATGTTTGTTGTCCAAACACTCTCGGCCAGGTTTCCTGTCCACGCACGCGTTCATGGTCATCAAGGTGGGCCAGTTGGGGGGTGCCTTGTGGGTAGTTCTCACGTTGAGGTCCCTTTCTAGGTCCCCAAAATAGTACGGTGCCCTCATAAATGGGACCCTAAAAGAGAGCCTAACTTAGAGAACTACCCATGTGGGTTCTGCAGAGTGACGGGGAAGCGCGAGCCATGTGGTTGGGACTAGGGGCTCGGATCTCTGAGAAAACACCAGGGGCCGTAGGTGATTGGATTGGCTGCGGTTCTTGCTGGTCGCTATTACATTAGTTACTTACATGTAACCAACATGAGAATCATGTTTATATAGTTTCATACGAAGTAGCGTCTTCGAGAGTTAATTTTCTTGGTGCACGCACCCTGAGTCGGGAGTTGCGGTCCTCGGAATCTAAGTAGGTAGTCGTCGGTCCGTTAAGTGCAGAGAGCCGTGGTTCCGAGGTGCCCTTAAGCAACGCAAGCAGAGGTTCCAAATAGTTCTGCGATGTGCTTGAACCGCAACCCTAAACCTGAAGCCCCACACCCTAGATCTTTACGCCCTAAACCTCCACACCCTACAAAACCCTAAACCTTCAACCCTAAACCTAAGACTCTGAGACGATCCGCCTCAAGATCCCCATAATACACCCTGCACTCCTTCATTGTTGAGGGAACCTTTTGGTCCAGATTCTAATGTAGGGGCCTTTTGTTAAATCAGAATAGGACTGTTGGGGGGGGGTCCTCATTATGACTATGGTATAATAGGCCCCAAAGCCCGCTTCTACTTATTAAGGCGGCCCGCCCCATATTTGCTTTTGAGGGCTTCCCGCGCCCCCATGCACGACATTCTTCGCTCTCTTACCCTCTTGATGCGAAGTTCCCGGCGTAATCCCGACTCATTTACCCTCCGATATACACTTCTGGGGGGGGGGGTTGATTTAATCCTCGACCGAACACTGAACCCCACTGAACCCCATAGCCTACCGAGGTGCTTTCGTACCTTATGATGATGCTCGCCATCAACCACATCATCGCCTGCTGCTGGTATGGCCTGGGTTCATGGACAGAGGGTTGCCCAACAGAGTGGATCCAGGGTCTGCCTGAACCCCCAAAAATTTTAAGGACTTATACAACGAGTCTATAATTAGGAGCCCTAAAAAGGTAGGACATTTGGGGCCCAGGTGTAGGCTGTAGATTTTGATGGACGCTTCGCGCTGCAGATTTCAAGAGACAGAAAAAATTGCCTTAGCTTCTGGATAGGGCAGAAGCTGATGGTCCCCGACAAGATGTGCTGTTTGTATACTACCGGCATCTGCCATATGAGCACGCGACCGCTCTGACTGTAGCTCTCCAACTCTAAAATTACTCGAAAGCATTCTACCGTTTAGAGTGAAAGTTTGCACCGCTTAGAGTACTGTGCGACACCTGCATAGCGGCACCATCTAAACCCTGAGTTAAAATTTGTAACCCAACCCAAGACTAATTGCTGGAAGACGACGGACGCTGAATGTAGGGGTCTTAATAATGTTTAATAGGGTTGCGGGCTCCTTTATAGTAGAATCATAGTAAGGAGCCCTAACAGAAATATTGGTAGTTGTTGAGGCTTGTATAGCAATCCTATGTCTCGAATTCATCCCCTGAGCCTCAGCTTCTCAAATGGTATAGAGCCTCGGCTTGAGACCAAATCCTCGAAGTCTGACCCTAAACCGTTTAACCCTAAACCCTAAACCGGTGGCGGAGGAGTTCCATAGAGTTCGGACCCACCAAGAGCTGGATCGAGAATCCGGAGCTGAATCAGGACGCGTTGAGTGCAGGGTTCAGTCTAGGGGCTCGTGGGTTTAGGGTTTAAGGTTTAGGGTTGAGGGGTGTGGCGTTGTTGTTGGGAGGGACTCCTTACTTCTTTTATGCACATGCACACACACATACTCTCTCTCTCTCTCTCTTCTTCTCGAAGTCTCTCTGTCTCTCGCTCCTTCACACACACACACACACAACATATCTCTCTTTGAGTGCTTGCCCCCCCCCACTGAAGCCCCATCGCTCGCCTTCCTCACAAAGCCTTCTCTAAATCCGAACTCGTCTCATCGGAAACCCAAACCCGAAAGCGGTAACGCCCGAAGCCCTAATATAGAGGCTTAAACAATTACCAATACTATTATGAGGGTTCTTTACTATGATTATATAACTGGGCCCCAAAACCCTATTCTAATTATTAAGGCCCCTACACTAGAAGCCTAAAGCTCTATACCGAGAAAAAGACCGAAATCCCTTCACAGGAGGATTTCGCAGAGATGTATTTTGCCTCGCTGCACTGGGTCGGCTCCTCAGAAAGACTGGCAGCCTAAGCTGCCAGTGCTTACGGAGTTTTGCGGCTCGCAGGTTTACCGTTCAGGGCTAGGGTCTAGGGGCCTTGGGTTCAGGAGTTCATTTTACCCTAAACCTTAAACCCTAAACCCTTAAATGGAGGTTGGTGTCGGTTCCGATGTGGTCTGAGGGTGCAGTGTTTATTGCTTCAAGAAAGCTCCAGTCTAGAGTTTTAGGCGTGACACCCTTAAACCTATCATTGCAACCAGTGATTACGTTGGGCGTTCTGGCCCATGGTTAAGTGACGGGCACAGGATTCAGGGTCAGTGCTCATTGAGGGCTTAAAGCCTTCTGCTAATCGAAGCGTGATTTTGTTCCGAGATTGCAGTACGCATCGACTCCCACCCCGGTGACTCTTTCTTCCATGCTCGGCACTTGAAGATTGCAAGACTCCAGGATTGCAAATGCCCAGAGGCACCCACGGATATGTAATCACCAGAACTACCAGAACCAGGTAGGCCTTTGGGACGTGTTTGTATGTTCCCTGGCCTTGTAAAGCCTAAGAGCTTATTTGCGAACATGTTTCAAAAGCTTTAAAGGGCCAATCAAGAGAAGGATGGGATCGAGACAAAAGTTGCAGCTTCCTCCCGCAATCTTCGAAAAGGCAACGTAAGCCAGGAATTGAAGTCAAGACGGTATTGGGTATTTCCTGAAGCCGCGTCCTGATTTGGGTTTGAGAACACAGGTTTTGTTTCCGCATGTGATAATTTCTAGTTTAGTACATTCCGACATTCAGAATCGCACGTAGGTCCGGCAACCAAGCTATGACAGTAGCGCAGTGCTGACTCCGCATCTTGCAGAGGCACTGACCCAGTTCACGCCAGCCACGAACAACATCGCGCCCCTCAATGTTTTCGAGAGGCGGGGCTTGGTGTGTAAGTCGGCTTTACGGTTATGACAACCATTACATTTATACCTGGAAAGACGTCGCATCAAGTGTTATAAGGCTTGAAGTACCTCTGCGAAAAGATGTTGTTCCGGTCGCTGTCTTCACCATCCACAACAACATAGTAACTCGCAGCCGTCGATGTCTTTAGCTTCGCCACCACCACCATCTCAGTGACCGTCTTCGTCGCGTCATCATGCTCGCAGTTACCAGCTGCAGTGCCCAGTCCTTCCCCACGGACCCCATCGTCGCGAGAACCATGTCGAATGGCGCATGGTTCTCTGGCTTGTCACGTGCGGTGCATGGTTCGCAGCACACGGTCGATCTTGTGGGCAGCAGCTTTGAGCAAATACTCCAGCCCAACGATTGATTCCTGGTGATTCCCTGACAGCAGCCTCCCGATGAGAACCAAATAACTACTTTGGACTAACCTTGAGCCAAGTGGAGCCTTCAGAAGCGCCGGCGTTTGCAATAGAATACAGCATGTCGAGTCTATGCTTCCCTTCAGACTGTGTGCTGCGAGATGTGTGGAGCATACATTCGGATAGTAGGAAGTGGATGTCAGCCAAACCCTAAACCCTAAACCCTAAACCCTAGGTCTTGCGACGTTAGTAAGACCTAGTAAGCATGGAGCCTTCATGTCAGAGGGCGACATTCAAGATTGAAGCCATTCAGCACCAGGTTTGAGTTAAGAACCCTAAACCCTAAACTCTAAATCCTAAACACCAAATCCTAAACCCTAAACCCTAAACCCTAAATAAGAGCACTGTCAAGGTTGTAAGAGCCTTGCAGCTCTGAGCCGTAGCACCTCGCAGATTCGACCTCCGAGCACCAATACGTCGGGGATCTGTGCATGTAATGTAGGGGCCTAAACAACTACCTATACTATTTTGGGGGTTCCAATTATCATATAATGGGCCCCAAAAGCCTATTCTAATTATTATGGCTTCTGCAATTAACCAGAATCTACGAACGCAAGCACCGAAGCATCATCGGTGATATATATATATATATATCTTATCCGAGATCTCGACATGTTACGCAGATACTTATGGGCGACGATGAGGGGCAACTCTCAACTAAACTGTCACAAGGCTGGGGTCACTATGTCGTGTCGGAGAGTGTCAGAATAATCTCCTAAGCACGTGCATGTGGTGCAAAGAACATCACTGTAGGCACTGCCAGTGTCGTTGCAGGTTCTTCGCCGTTGTGGTTATCCTCCTGGCCATGGGGGTGTTCTCGTCCTTCGTTGGATCCATCAGCCCTTGGTTGGCAGCTAAAGGTTCACATCTCCACTGGGGACACACAAGGTCTGTCAGACTTGGGGAGCCTGCCCGATGTCCATCAGAGAGAATGGCTGCCATGGCATAATCTTCACAGTCGCAATCTGGTTCCAGCTGCGGAGCTGATAGTGGTTACCAATACTGCTGCAGCTGACTCTACGACGATGACAGCAACTAGTCGTCGTCGTCGTCGTCGTCATCGTAGTCGCAGTAATAATTATAGTAGTAGTGTAGTCGTAGTAGCGTAGCAGCAGCAGCAGCCGCAGCAGCAGCAGCAGTAGTAGTACTAGTAGGGGAACTAGCACTGCCACCACCACCACCACCACCACCACCACCACCACCACCACCACCACCACCACCACCACCACCGCCGCCCCCGCCCTTGCCGGCACCGCCAGCACCACCGGCACCAGCAGCACCACCAGCAGCACCAGCACCACCACCAGCACCACCAGCAGCAGCACCACCACAACCGGGACAACCTCCAGCCGGAGCACTGGCACTACCGGCTCCACCACCACTTGCTGCTGCTACTGCTACTGCTGCTAGTGCTACTACTGCTATTGCTATTGCTACAGCCGCTGTTGATACTGCTACTGCTACTGTTCAATTTCTACTTCGGTGTTTCTTACACCGTGACTCTCGATCTCGAGACATTCGCCACCTGACACCCCTAGTCTTCATGAGAAGGTCACCACCCATCCCTACAAGGCAGTGCAAGACCCTTTCAAGGCAACACTGTCAACAACATCCGGGCAGCACGAGTGGAGCAGCAGCGGAAGACCAACAAGATGTTGCAGTTCTTCATTGAAAGGACCCCTTCGGGGACGTGAGTGTGCGAGGGGACCGGGAACTTGTTGCAAATCAGTGGATCCTGACGTAATCCTGAATGACAACACAGAGCTTCTGCATGCAGAGAAAGGTACCTAATGCAGAGCAAGAGTGGATGCAGCAACACGGCCCAAACGTCCTACTTAGGGATTTAAAGTTTCGAACCGGAGCATGAAAGTCTTTGTCTCTGCCGGGCGCCAGCTGATTTAGACATGGGCTTATGTTGAAATACTGCTCTCAGTTGTGGATCCGGTTCTTGGCCGGTTTATTCTTCGGTCAGGATCCTATATTCAGAAAATGAGGCATAAGGAAATCGGGACAAAGGAACCACAGTTAAAGGCCTAGACAGTGTCACCCACCACCGTCCCCACCCGGTTACGCCCCCTCCCAGCCTGCAGGAATCTTTCTGTGGACCTCTATGGCAAGATTCACGAGGCTCGCTGCAAGCTTCAAATCCTCTAATTCTCTTCAGAGCCCTCCTGGTTTAGGTTCAGGGTTTAGGGTTTAGGGTTTAGGGGTACGGATAAGGGGTGAGGTTTCAAGTTCTTAGGGATCGTTCCAACTCTTCCAGCCTAACCATGCACATGAGCACGTTCCTCAGCATTCGTGGCTTTTTCGCCTTTGCTGATTGTATTTCTTCTCTTGGTCTCACTCTAAACTGAAATCCTAAACCCTTATAAACCCTAAACCCTACCACAAAGCTTTAAACCCCTACACTCTGGACCTCGCTGTCGTTTGTTGATCTTCGTGGTCGCTTGGGGCCGGGACCCAGCCTCTCGTCTAGGAATCCGAACATTGCAACAGCATCGATTGTAGTCGTTATACAACTTATACAACGGTAAGAAAATGTAGTGGTCTGAAGAGCTCATAGTTAAAATGCCCAAATTTGAACATATAAACCCCTAATACTGTGTAGGATAATGTAGGGCCCTCAATAATTAGAATGGGGTTTTCGGTGCTCCTTAATATGTTTATAGTATAATTATATACCCCCAAAACCCTATTGGAATTATCAAGGCCCCTATATTACCCCACAGCCCTTCTACTTCTCAAGGCTCCCCCGAAACCTTAAACCCCATAAACCCTACATAAACCCTGTGAACCCTAAACCGCAACCCTGAGCCCTAAACTCTAAACCCTAAACGCTACTATATTCCTAGATCGGTTTGCCGAATGCTTGTGGATCCGAAACCGTTACTGTAACCTCCGGACGTGGCCTTCGAACTTTGCTGTTTATAGGGTTCAGGTTTCGGTTTAGGGTTTATAGGGTTTAGGGTTTGAATAGGGTTTTAGGTTTCGGTTTAGGGCTTATAGGCTATAGGGCTTAGGGTCTCGGTTTAGGGTTTATAGGGTCTGGGTTTAGGGCTTATAGGGTTTAGGTTTAGGGTTTAGGGCTTAGGTCTAGGGTTTAGGGTTTAGGTTTCGGGTGAAGGATACAATGCCGTACCGTTGTTGCAAGAGGAGCTGTGATGAAAGGATGCCCCTAAGCCCTAAACCCTGAGCCCTAAGCCAAAGCCTTAAACCCTAAACCCTAAGCCCTAAACCCCAAGCCCTAAACCCTAAACCCTAAGCCCTAAACCCTAAACCCTGAACCCTAAACCCTAAACCCTAAGCCCTATAAGCCCTAAACCCTCTTCGCCAA